TTTTTTTTTTTTTTTTTACTTTTTGAAGGATGGGGTGGGGTGGATATACACAGAAACACTCAGGCATATATAATTTAAACAACCAAAGGGCACATTTGCAAGCCTACCTCCTAGCCGCCAGCACCCAGTCCCTCTCTTTCCCTGAGTCTAGAGTCCTCAGCTGCTCCCTGTTTCCATGTATGACTTGCCTTTAATATTCACCATTATTTTTGTTACTTAGCCATAATATAGCTCTAGTGTTTGACTATGGCATAGTTCACCTATCTCTGCAATGCAATTAAATGTGAATATATGGTTTATTTCGTTACAATATTTTGTCTATAGTTGTTTTTTAATTTATTTACAGTTGGAGACTATCCGTGAATAATGACAGTTTTCTCTCATCATTTCCAGTTGGTCTATTTTTGTTGTGTCAGAGAGCAAACTGGAATTTCTGTTAAAATAAAAAGAGCTTTGTTGTTGCTAACTGACATCAAGTCTGTGCCAACTCATAGCAAAATCATTTAGTCTGGCCATGCCAAGGCAGGACTCGAAATTCAATAAATCTAGGAGTTTTTGTCATAGCAACGTATATTTATATTATGTGAATTGTAATGTTATGTAAATTTTGAGGGACAAGCAAGGAACGTCCATTACAGGATAGACAGGACACATATGAACACATGATAAGGCAGACACGTAGGCGTCTTGTTGGCTGCCTGCTGCCCGTCTGTCTGTATTATGGTGACTCAGTGGACAGTCAGTTAACACACTGTGGTGAGACAAGCAGGACACAGTGATGATGAGATGATTCCTCATGACATCATGACCTTGCCTCTGATGTTGACGATGATTTTGTTGACTTCTGTGACAACACAAGACAATAACTCTAATACAGTCTTTATCCACACAACCATGATCTACAATACTTGCAAAAACAGAATTTCAGATGAAGATTAAGGAAATTGCAGTACACAAAATAAAACCTCAAGAGTCGATGATATGAATGTTGGATATGTTCCAAGTATAAGATGGAAGATTACAACCTCAATCAAAGCAAAATAATTGTGTCCCTGGACACACACTCGCGGGATAGTTATTAAAACTTAAGTCGTGTGACCTTCTACAAATGGCCACTATAGTGGAAAGAAAAGTTGATGAAGCTTGTTGATCTTTTCAAGAAAAATAGACAAATGATTATTTTTGTTGTTGTTGAAGTCATATGCAAACCTCTGTACCTAGTTTGTGGCGATGTGTTAGCAGTAAGGACAAAAGCCATTTTAAGGAGTTACTGAATAATCTTGAATGTGAGTTTGACGATCTTGCTTATCACTGTGAAGTGCAATGGCTGAGTTGCAGGAACATGCTCATGAGGTTTTATGACTGTGGGATTGTAATAGTTAGGTTCTGTGTCAACTTGATTGCACCAGGATTCCTAATTGTTGGACAGTTGATAGTTAACTCTTTGATGCTTGACTACGAGCAGCCAATCAGTTGCAAGGATACTTCTGTGGGGGTGATGCCTGCTCCTAATATAATGGACATGGAGGAAGACTAGCATTTCTTCCCATTGGGTCTGGATCTCGCATCTGGGTCATCCTCCAGCTTCCAGTTCTTTGAACCTGAGCCAGCAGCCTGCTCTGTTGTGTGTGCCTGCTGGGCCTGTCCACTGAGTGTGCCTGATAAACTGGACACCCACAGGAGAGCCCTGTACCCCTATTCCTGTCACCTTGGCTTATGTGTTTTGCACTGGTTCTGCAGTGCGTCTTTCCAGACCTTGGTTGCCCATCACCCTGCTGCTCCTGCCTGTGCTCTAGTGCCAAAGTCCTGTTCTGTGCCTTGATTTGGGTTTTCTGCCTTCCAAGCCCACCTGCAGGTCTTAGTTCTCCTGGTCTGCACTTGGGACTCTCCTATCTCTACAACTATGAGCCATTTCCTTGATGCAGACTTCTATGTATTTCTATTTATTTATAAGAGAAGTTCAAGCTCACTAGCTGTTCCTCAGAAACTATATATATTGTGTTGTTGTTAAGTACCATGGAGTCGGTTCCAACTCATAGTGACCCTGTACAGGGTTTCCAAGGTTGCAAATCATTATGGGAGCAGAAAGCCTCATCTTTCTCCCGTGAAACGGCTGGTAGTTTTGAACTGCTGACCTTGAGATTAGCAGCCCGATTCGTAACCACTATGCTACCAGAGCTTCTTAGAAACTATATATATATAGATTCCTGTAGGATCAGCCCTGAACTGTGAACCACAAGGTCTGCTGTTCAAACCCACCCCTGCTCCTTGGAAATGCTATACAGGGTTTCTACAAGTTTGAACTGACTCATCGGCATTTAACAACATATATATATAGCACTGGTTTTGCTTCTTTGTGACAGAGATGAAGTTAAACAGTTCTTTAAGATGAAAGGAACTCAATGAGAGCAAGTGACTGTGTGATCTAGTGTTCCTGGTGGACATTACCATGACCTCTCAGAGCTGAATGTCAAGCTGCAGGGCCTTGACCAACTTCAATCATTTGAAGCTAAATTACGGCTGTATAAAGTGCAACTCGAAAGGAATAACATGGAGCATTTCCCCACTCTAGAAGGACAAAAGCCTCTGTGACACTTGACTGTATTGGTGAATGTATGAAACTAATTGAGGCATTTAATGAAAGATTCAAGGATGTGCAGAGTAAACAAATGGAATTGAACATATTTGCTGTACTGTTCAATGTGGAACCAGCAGTTGTGCCTGATAATCTAAGACACGAAATCATACAGCTGCAAAGTGATGATGAGCTGAAAGCTAGGTATAGTAACCTCCTAATGCTATAATGTTGCCTGAGCAATGATAGAATTTCCCACTTTGAAGAGACATGCTTTGGAGTATGCACCTGTGTTTGGAACAACTTACTGCTGCCAACAGTTCTTTTTAAAAGTTACCATCACTGAGAGTCGACTGTGCTCCAGACTAAAATGCAAAACTGACA